ATATTTCGTTGATTAGAAATAGCGATTTTCTAAAGACAAGTGGAAGCGACAAAAACGTCAAAATTCGTATCAAATGACTAAACTAAATTCTTAGATGTTAATAAAGTCTGTCTTTGAAAATAACCGTGTCCATAAAACGACATAAGTATAGTAAAAAAAATTTTTAAAAACTGTTCTTTACATAAATTTGTAGTGCATATCCTCTAATAACTACGGTTATTTGAAGTACGGTGCATGATTAAACTCGCATTGTCTGTCAATACGTTTTAAAAACCTGTTGCTTGAACTTGAGTTCGGAAGATTAGAAAAACAAACAAGTGATTTCGGTGCTCAATCCGTTTCCTCACCTTATCTTATTTCAGAGGTGTTTTGGCAAATTTCATTGTTTAAAGAAGGAGCATTTTCTTTCAAAATGTCGCCGAAAATAGAGTCCTCCTCCTCCACTACTAAGCCGCCTGTAGGTTTTTGCGAAAAGCCTATTTTTTATGTGGTATACACCAGCGCACCCGACACAGTGACTTTAATGTTCTAATACATCTTCAAATAAAATATATTATCTAATTGGGAGCTAATTCCTGATTAGCAAAATACCTAATCATAATAATGAAGGGCAAGGTTTGGTTCTGTAGCCCCACTTGATTCATACCATATGGTTAACTACTAAAACGATATTAGTCATCATACCCAACCCAGCCACTCGCTGGACTAGGGAGGGAAAGAGAGCGCAGGCAGAGTTCGAAGCAGACGCAGGGAGGCGCTTGAAAGGTGCGCGTAATCATCCTCCTACAACACAGTCATGCGTTGGATTAATAGGATTAGGAGAGTGCAATCACGACTGGAAGGCCACAGAGGGAACCGCCCAGTGATTCTGCAATACAGTGTAGTGTCTGTAACGGCCTCCAATTGGACGCCGAGATTAAACCTCATATGACACGATCCACAGTCTACCGACAGTTAAGTGAGCCCGCACCCCTACCGAAACAGCCCGTATCTTTTAATTTATTATTTCACTAGCCATATAAATTTACAGGCCCGCAGACAATTTATCAAAAGTGAACCTTTTCTTTTGACTACAATTACTTGACCTCGTCGCCTGTGCCTTCCCGGCCCCACCTGTAAAAGCTCCTATTACCACCGGTACCGATGTAGAGGTGGCTGGAATTTGTTAATTACAGGTGGGGCTGCATAACCATATCTGTTCTTTTCTTTTTTCTTCCCTTGTGATTCAGTTCCCTCCATTATGTTCTCCAACATTTTAACTGAACAGAATGTATTTAAGTATGTCTGTTCTCTTAACTTCGGGTCTTCACTGAAAAGAAACAGTTTTTTATGCTAATAATTAAGAAATCATTAACTAGACTATGTTTTCCCTTGGAAACAGTCACTGATTTAAGCATTTTGGGAATCGAGGGATAGCGGGTTTTGCGTTGGAAAATTTTCTTGTGACTTTTGCATAAAGTTTACGTTTTATGTCGCCTATTGCACTTACCAGAAGCATTTCTGGGCGGCGATAAAAGGCAGGGCGTACATTTCACACGCATTTTTTGGTTTCTTGTGTGTGAGAAAATGCCAGGGGATGTTTCCTTTCCTCTGTTCTCATCCTTGAGATAAGATGATTTTTCTTTCAAGAAACCCAGATCCGACTGAGGTTGCGCCCAATAGTGGCGACAGTAAGGCGTGGCTAGGGCTAGAAAAGGTGGGGAAGGGATGGTAACCGTTTTTTGAAAAGACAAAATTTATGTATCATTTCGTGGCGGCTTTCCAAACGTTTTCTGCTATCCGACACTTTGGATGTGCTTGTGGATGCAGATATATGCGGTGAACAGACTAGTCAGATTAGTAAAATGAATGCCAAAATGGCTAAATTCCCAGCTGAACGAATGGAATGTGATTACCAGAAAGTGAGCAACCTTTCGGACCAAAAATGGATTTTGCAACGATTTACTACCTCAAAATACTGATATAAAGTCTTATTCATTAGGAGAGGTAGGTTGAAATTACTCCAGAAACATGGTTTTGCTGAGAACCTAATTTTGTCGGAGCCCTTTAAGGTCGCTTACATCAAAATATGGTCTTTTCCTATTATATAATCGACTCACTGCCATTTTCACTGTTTTTTGTAGTACTCGTTAACTGATGTTAGGACGTAGTTTTTGTTCAAGACCGCAATATTATCGCATCATAGATTTTGAAGCAATTTACAAGCGTTTTTTTCACTCGAAAACCCCGTGATAAATAAGAATTCATTGCAAAACCTTGTAGCCTTGAAGAGAGCTGCCCTTCAAAACCGGACGCTCTGCCTGGGACCAATAAGACAAATTTCGCCTGACTCAGCTAACGACTACTTCCCAATCGCTATGTCAATCAGGCTCATGAGCGACACACAGTTTAAGGGGGAAAAAAGTAGTAAAGTTGATGGAAGCTATTTTTGGATTTGAAGAGACATTTAGTTGACTTACTGCAGCTCCAGTATTATGTCCTTCGACGCGGAAAAACAGGGCGTCGCCCCATGTACTCTTCATCGATTATAAGTACTAATTAACTAAGAACTTCTCCAGGCCATCACTTGGGCCAACCCATTGGTCGAAATCCCCAACGAGTTTTCACATGCGAAATTTCTCCATATAGCTCGTAAATGTGTTCGTTGTTCTCTCTTTCTACACTGGCATTATTTGAATTACAGGAGTTCAGAAATATTCACAGAACTCTATCATTTTTGGACAGATAGTATTATTAATTTCTGAACGGTATTCTACTTAAATTACATTTACCAGCACCTAGGACTCCAGTAAGCGATTTTTCAGGTTGGTCAAAAATGCGACATTTATGATGAAAATGTGTTCTGGGGAAAAAAGTCCACTAAGAAATTCCGACGTCGGGAATGATAGTAAAAACGTCCGAAACATTCCATTTTTAGCGGCTTCGCCCCGATTTCTAGATGATTATCGCACACGCAGTCCAACCGTATCATGTAAAGCGCCAGAAGCTTAAAGAAGTCAGTTAAAGAAGATTTTATCATGCATAGATTAGGAAAACAGTATGAGTAGGCAAAACCTGGGAGACAAAACTCGAACGTGTGATGTGTCCACAACTGAAGTCGGCTGAACCTTATTTGGCCGACCGCCAGTATTTTCTAAAAATATTAAATCTTGCCACTTGAGACACTTGTTTAAAGAAAGTTATTATGGCTGATTATTCGCGCCGATATGTGCAATAATTGCGTTTTGATATCGACACGGTTTTATTCCCAAATCACAACGGTTTTTCTTGGTCACTGTTATCCGCCTGTGATAGTACTACACCAATATCGAACGCGCTAGCGTCATTATCCAGGATGAAAGGGGGTGCATCAGCGGAGACATTAGGAAATTTGAGTATCGCGGCTGTTGTGAGGTGAGCTTTAAGGTTACCGAACGCAGTTTGACATTCTTCTGACCAAGGAAATTTTCGAACTTTTACCCTCAGTCTAGGCAATGGTCTTGCTATGCCGACAAAATTGGCGATGAAGCGTCGGTAATAGAAAGCCAAGCCGATTAATCCTCGGACTTCCGTTGGTGTCTATGGTGTGGACCATGATCGGATAGCGTCTATCTTCCCCGGAGCAACACGTGTGTCTGATGCGGAGACTTCGTAGCCTAAGTAGGACACCTGGTGGCGGAGGACCTGGCACTTTTGTGGGCTCAGTCGCAGTCCGGCTTCGCGACATGCCTCTAACTCTGCATATAGATCTTGATTATGCTGTTCGATCGTTCTACCGAAGACGGTAACATCACCGAGATACTCGAGGCATTGTTGGAGATACAGGTGTGCCTACGACCACTTTCCAATCGCTTTGTCAATCAGGCTCATGAGGGACACAAAGTTTAGGGGGAAGAAAAGTAGTAAAGTTGATGGAAGCTATTTTTGGATTTGAAGAGACATTTAGTCGACTTACTGTGGCTAAAGGATTATGTCCGTAGACGCGGCAAAACAGGGCGTTGCCCCAAGTACTCTTCATCGATTATAAGTACTAACCAACTAAGAACTTCTCCAGGCCATCTCTTGGGCCACCTCATTGGTCGAAATCCCCAACGAGTTTTCATATGCGAAATTTCTCCATATAGCTCGTAAATGTTGTCGTTCGTTGGTCTCTCTTTTTATAATGACATTATGTGAATTACAGGATAATATTATTAATTTCCGAAAGGTATTCTTCTTGAATTACATTTATCAGCACCTAGGACTCCAGTAGGGGATTTTTCAGGTTGGTCAAAATTGCGACATTTATGAAGAAAATGTTTGTTCTGGTGAAAAAAGTCCACTAAAAAATTACGACGTCGGGAATGATAGTAAAAACGCCCGACAAATTTCCATTTTTAGCGGCTTCGCCCTGATTTCTAGATGATTATCGCACACGCAGTCCAACCGTATCACGTAAAGCGCCAGAAGTTTAAAGGAGTTAGTTAAAGGAGATTTTATCATGCACACATTAGGCAAACAGTATGAGTAGACAAAATCTGGGAGACAAAACTCGAACGTGTGATGTGTCCACATTTAAAGCCGTCTGAACCTTATTTGCCCGACCGCCAGTATTTTCCAAAAATACTAAATCTTGCCACTTGAGACACTTGCTAAAAGAAAGTTATTATGGCTAATCATTCGCGCCGATATTTGCAATAATTGTGTTGTGGTTTCGACAGAGTTTTACTCGCAAAACATAACGGTTTTTCTTGGCCACTGTTATCCGCCTGTGATAATATTACGCCAATAGCGAACGCGTTAGCGTCAGTATCCTCGATGAAATGAGGCGCATCAGCGAAGATATTAGGAACTCTCAGTATCGGAGCTGTTGTGAGGTCAGCCTTAAGGTCATCGAACGCAGTTTGATATTTCACTGACTAAAAAAATTTTCGTCATTTCTCCGTCAGTCTATGCAGTGGTCTGATTATGCCGACAAAATTGACGATGAAGCGTCGGTAATAGAAAGCCAAGCCGATGAATCCTCGGACCTCCGTTGGTGTCTATGGTGTGGGCCAGGGTCGGATAGCGTCTATCTTCTCCGGGGCGACACGTATGCCTGCTGCGGAGACTTCGTGGCCTAAGTAGAACACCTGGTGGCGGAGGACCTGGCACTTTTGCGAGCTCAGTCGCAGTCCGGCTTCGCGACATGCCTCTAACTCTGCATATAGATCTTGATTATGCTGTTCGATCGTTCTACCGAAGACGACAACATCATCGGGATACAGGAGGCATTGTTGGGGACACAGGTGTGCTAGTACGACCTGCATGAGTCGCTGAAACGTTGCGGCTTCGTAGCACAGTCCAAACGGCATAGTTTTGAAGTCGAACAATTCTTGTGGCAAGATAAACGCCGCCTTCTGGCGATCTATGGGTTCCACCTCTGCCTGCCAGGTCCAGAGTGGACAATCATTAGGCATCTAGGGTACATTCTATAGTAGGAACGAGTCGCGTGATGTTACTGCGTTTAGGCGCCGGGTAATCAATACAGAAGCGTACTATGCCGTCCTTCTTGGGTAGAAATGTCACTGGGGAGGTCCAAGGGGAGTGTGACGGTCTAATTACCCCCGTAGCTAGCATGCTGTCTAGTAGATCGCGAACTTCGTTTTGGTACTGGACGGGAATCCGACGCGGAGGCTGCCAAATGGGCTTAGCAGCGCCTGTCTCGATGGCATGCTGGATACGGTTCGTTCGGCCTGGGTAGTATTCGTCCCACGCGAACACGTCCTCAAACTCGAGTAGTAGAGCTCTGAGTGCCTGGCGATCACAGTCGGTGCCGTCCGACTTCCATATGGAGGTAGGTGGTATTTGTACCGACATCTGGATTGCCGCACATATGGCTGCGTCATCAAAAACTGTCGCAGGCATCATGGGTTCTCCTTCCTTCTCTGTGCAGAACTGCACCGTTCGCTGTTTAACGTCTATCAGACAGCTGTGTCGTGCTAAGAAGTCAATGCCGAGCACCAAATCCCATGTTTATTGGGGTGTCACGATGAAGGTGTGCTGGTCGTGTTCTTCCGGAGGGTTACCTTGAGTGATACGGTTCCAATATGATTCATTCAGGAGCCAACTGCTGTCCTCAGCCGAGTGATCGGGCATGCCGGCCTCCTGTTGGCGTACAGATTTTGTGGTACTATTCTTCGGTTAACTAGACAGACTGTGGCTCCTGTATCTATAAGCGCATTAACCTCTTCGCTGTTAACTGATAATCGGGCGTAAAACGAAGCTGCATTATAATGGGGGTCGCTGCGTGAGGTGATGGAAAGCGTACCAGGTGCGTGGCTGCAGGTGCACGCCTGATTGCGGAAAGGCGGACGGCCTCCGGGTCTGCGGAATGGTCTGCCTCGTTGGTTATACGGATTGGGGTTTGAGCCTGTGAAGCGGGGTTTAGAGGGGTAACGGTCCCCTTCAATAGCCAAGCCAGATAGACGCCAAGGGTGTTGGAAGGGGTGCTCTGAGTGGCCTTGAGTTACACTGATCATTCTGAGGTAGCATTTCGTTCTGTCCACTGCATCTTATATGTCCCCTGGTGGTTGTAGCACAAATGATCGTGGTAATTAGTAGAGAATATGGAAGCGACCTTGTATTTCTGGGAAGGCTCTCGCGGAAACTGGTAGTATGGCAGGTGAAGACGTTGAGGACGAAGTGGAAAATTCTCTCCAGTGCAATCAATGGTAAAACAAAATGAAATGGGAAAGAGTGCTTGACACGTGCATATACCGGGAGTAATTATTAATGTGCTGTTCGGATCTAATAAGGTTAATGCTGCAATAAACTTGAACCAAATCCATGCATGTCACTGACAGAGTTTGATTTTAGCCAGAAGAACCAAAGACACCTTGTCATTTGCCGAAATCTTGTCTCATCAATTGTCTAAAATGTGCTGCAATAATGGGTACTGTAACTACGTTGGGGAAGCCGGAAGAAAACTGAAAATCAGTCTACATGTGCACAGACTGGCAATTTGGGAACTATACCGAACTCCTCATCTCACCACCATCAGAGAACTGGACGGAACGGTTGACACTTGAGGCGTGGTATTCAGATGCCAGGTATATCAGCGGTCATATTGACCATCCTAGGACAGACAAAGTCATGTGTCGCCAGAACCATAAACAGCAGAACAAGACAGCCGCATTGGACTTGATGAACTCAGTCGTTGGAGGACCAAACAGCCGCCAGACCGAATGACCCTCAGAGGTTTATCCATAGATCTACCTGAAGGTCGATTCGACGAAAAAGAATGTAGATTCGCCCAAGTCAAATTTACTCAGAAAGTTATTTGAATATCTGTTGGATTTTCTACCTTCAACGGTTTGACAACGACTTTCCGACAATGATTTCCGAAATTCCAACAATGAAATGAGTACTCGGGCGTCACATAAAGAAGAGAGTGATCTTAAAAGACAAGGCTCGAATTGGTGAATCAGGAGCAACTATCCCGGAGGGGTCTCAAAAGCTTATTTTTCTTGCGAATGCCCCAAATCGTATCCCAGTCAAACATATATCTGTCTTCTTTCAGTAATTCGAAATTATCTAAAACGACACTTTTTATCATAAAAATACATTCTTCACTTATCGGCTATCTTCATTCACAAAATGAAATTGATGACTGCACCTCCATTGTGTCTAGTGATTTTAATTTTCTGGAAATCCTTATGGGGTTTTTTTTCGACAGTCCGTGCAAGTTGTCCTGCTATGATTATAATTTCCTGAGCTAACTGAAATATGACTCGATTTACAATTTCCATTTTAACGTTTTCTCTTTCTGCAGTGGAAAATACTAAATTTCTCTTTTTTGGAGAGCACCGACTGGAAAAAGCATGCAACGTAGTAACATTTTCCATTTGGACTTCCGATACAATCTGGCGCCGCAAGTTTGCAGGTCAGTTCACTGAGGAAGAATCTAGTGGTGACCCTGTAAATCACGTTCTCCTAATTAACGGGGTTTAAAAAGTAATTTCTGCCTTTTGTGCTGTTCTTCCTTATCGACACAGTCTGTTATATGAATGCACCGTTAAATTTACCATAACTCAAGTGTGGGACGTTTGCGCGTCTATAAAGTCCGATGGGACCGATCGATAAAATCAAGTATTGAGTACGTAATCACGCAAAGTGGATGAAAAGGTCTCATTTATGCTGCAACAGTAGACGCAAGACCGATCCCGATAGTCAGGGTGGCACGTTATAGTCTACGTGCACTTGTTTAAATCATAAAAGGAACAGACACACAAGGAATTACGGCAATTAGAATAAGCTATACGAAGTGTATTAATTCTAAATTTAGGAAAATGAGAGCAACTGAGTTGTGAAGGCTCAAAGAACAACCCCCAAAGGTAGTTTGTTAGGCTATGGGAACAGGCGCTTCCGTAGTACAGGCGGCCATGAACTAACTTCTGGAAGTTCCAGAAGGGTTAGGGCACGGGAAAAGGCCCCTCCTTAGAACTTAGCGCAAGGTTACCTGTGATGTGTGGGATGGGGTATTTCCGCGTTCAGCCAAACTGAAAATAGCAGTATTTTTTCCCTCTGTGATACAAGGCACCAGTCAGGAAATTTGACAAGCGAAGTCTGGATTAGTTGTAGGAAGTATCTGTCCCATTGTTCTTTGCTTAATTGCTTCATTATGGTGTAAAGGGCCGTTTTCTGAAGGAGAGTAAGTTTCAAAGAAATTTTACAAACGGATAGTTGGACACTGAACTTGAGCGCAAACTAATGTCTAGGTACTTCTCAATGTTTTAGTCCAATATCACAGATTTGCGCGCGCTTTGCCACGAAAGGACATAAAGTTAATTAACTGATATTTGAAATGCCAACTGAAATTCTGAAATGAGCTTTCGACTCGAAAAGATTACTTAACTAGGATTTTAACCCTAATAACCATGCAACCCAATTCCATGATAATTCAGCGACTTCAGGATGTTGGCCACCTGAAAAATTTAAAATCTGTAAGTAATGACTACTACTGTGGCATTAATTTTCTCATTAATTTTCCATGCCCACAAAAATTCAATTATATTTTATAGAAAACATGCATGCAAACACTCATTCCTTTACTCGTTTGATGGAAAACTACGTGTTCTCTAAATCTTATGCTTGAAGGAAGGATATAATAAGTTTTAAAACACGTTCATAATTTCCGGATAATTTTAAACCCAACCAGCCGTTACACCTGTATTCAGGGTTTCCAGACCAAAAGTTGTATGTTTTCCGTGTACGGAAACTCGTGCATTTGTATACGCTATTAAGAGGAGACCATATTCGGTTCATAAAATTTAACAGCGGGTTTGAGCCATATTGTAGACTTTACAAGCAATATTACTAAATGCAGAGACAAAATGTTCTACGGACGGGCATTTCACGATTTTGAAAAATCTCATAACTAGAAGCTTCATTAAAATCGAATTATACAACTTCTGCAAACATAAAATTTAAAGAAAATGTAATTTTCCACTAACCTACCAAAAGGATGAAAATGTTTGTAGATGTTTGCCATGAAATAAATTTGAATGTAAAAAAGCATCGAAAATCAGTTATAAAGATCGATGTTACAATAGTAGTCATTAGTTACAAATTTTCAGTTTCTGCAGGCGGCTGGCATCATGGTGTAACTAAATTATAATGGAGTAGGCTGCACGGTGATTAATTTTACAACCCTACTAAAGTAACCTCTTCGAGTCTAAAGCGCATTCCAGAATTTCAGTTGATATTTCATGAGTTAATATATCTACTGTATATGTGTGTGCGGAAATTGTAAACAAAGAGAATATGAAACCGGGGTATCGGATTCTGGATCCATGTAATACAAATAAGACAAGATATAAACGATCACACTTGTTCTATAGCAAAGCGTACTTCACGTTCCACGGAACAGTCTACACGCAGGTGAAAGGCACACCAATAGGTTCGCCGCTTTCAGAACTCGGGTCTGAGGTGGTATTTTGACACCACAGATAGAAATGCAGGGCTCGGTATGCGGACGGCACCTTCGTCATCATCGAACGGGATCAGATGATGATATTCAAAGAACATCTCAGTGCCGTGCATGCGGACATAAACTTTTCGAAGAAGAAAGGATAAAACAACCAGCCAGGTTTCCTTGCGGTCCACTTCTGAAAAGCGACCAGTACGACGTAAACACTAAGCTGCAGCAACGATCAAACATCCACAAAAGCAGCTGCTTAAGGGCAATATGTCGGCATGTTGAGACGTTTTGTAGTAAACTGCAAGACAAGATTGCTAAGTTGCAATGACTTTGACGAGTGTTTAGGCCGAATGCTTCCCCGATGCATGCATAAAAGGGACCGACCCAAATTATGGCGAGCGCTCCCGTACGTGAAGAACGCCTCTAAATCCGTCAGTCGCCTTCCTACAACAACCGAAAATGAAGCTGCGCACAGACCGGAGGCAACTAACAGGCGCCGGCTCATGTGACCAAAAGAGCTCCTGCTGCGGCAGGAAACGTTCGGAGTCATTTGCCGGAACTGGTGCTTGTTCCGGACAAAGCAACTACGTCAGCGAAATCAAAAGATTACTCCGAACGCCAATGGCCGAAAATACGACAGTGAGGAGGAACGACGCTAGCTCCCAGATCGTTGCTCATTGAAGGGGACGTCGTCACACCTTCAAGTTTGACGGAGCCGAAATTCTCGGAAGAGATGACAACTACGTGAGCCGTGGGCTACTTGAGTCATGGTTCGCATGGTAGATGGACACAGAAATAGTTACCCCCAAAAATTTAGACCAGAGCTTAATGTAGTTCCGGGGAGTACTTGTTTATGTGGCCAAGGACCTATTTGGCCGCAATGAAAATTACCGGGGGC